GGGGGGGGGGATTTAACAAAGTTCGGTACAAAGTTAATTGAACGAGAGGAGGGGAATATTAACGAGCCATCGACAGGATATGTCATCATAATTCGAGAATTAAATACGATAGTTTTATCGCTCAAAAGTTGATAAGTGCGAAAACTAACACCATATTAAATATTTTAATTGAATTTATATTACAGATGTTCGATAATGTAAATAATAGGCATGTTTTAACACGTTAGAAGAAGAGTTAATTTTTTTTTTTTTTTTTTATAAAGAAATATTCGATTTCCGTTCATTCTTACATTTGTTATTTTCGGTATTTTCTATTTCTGTAAATATATATGAGTGTGAGTGTAATTAAGTCGAGCGATTTAATATTATCATCTGACTTATCTGATTGCGAGCTTCGTTATTATTTGCCTCGTCTCGACACATTGGCGTCTTTATTGAAAGTGTTGGTACAATGATTTACTTGCTGTCGTTCCTGGCTTTCGCGAGGATTGAACGAACGAGTATTTGCAATAAGGACGAAAATTACGTTAAATTAAACTAGTATGCAAGTTGTTTTTACAGAAAAAAAAAAAAACAAACAAAACAAAAAAAAATATGCTACATATGTTGAAATGTAAATTATAGAAAGCCACGCTAAACTCGAGAATAATGAAAATTCATGCAAATCAAGTGCTCATTAATTCCACGCTAATATGTAGAGAAAGAACTAAAGAAATAAAAACAATGATAAAATTATGTAAAATAATTTATGTATGTATATATAACTATGTATATATATATTACATTAGACAGGTTCACTGAAATTCAGTAAAATTATTTAGGATTACAATTTTTTTCATACTTGTACGTATTTGTGTCGTATATGTCATTTTTACGCTTAAGTAAAAGGAGACGCAAATATGCACATGTATAATTAAACTTTTTTTTTTTTTTTTTTTTTTTTTTTTTTTTTTTTTAATAATTCTTTTTAATAATTTTCCACTAATTTAACAATGTATAATCATTTCCTTAATACTGCAGCACATGAATAATTTCTCTCTCAAAAAATACGTGCGGATACAATTTATGAATGCCGAATGAGAGTAAGTTAATGAAAACAACGCAGACCGCCGATAATAATTATCGTTTATTTGCAATATGAGGGAGGAGCGCCTGTGTCGCGATTATAAGAGAGAAAATTTTGAATGCCAAGAGCCATTTACGCGCGCAATACAAGCAAATACGATGTATAGCATTATTTTTCTTTATTTTATTATTTACTTATTTATTTATTTATTTTTGTTTTGTTTTGTTTTGTTTATTTTAATTTTAATAAATATTTAGTATTCAATTTAAGAGGCAGGCTTGTGCCTGATCTTTGTTCTCACTATTATTTCGACGCTTGAAGCACCAAAAACCATTTTTAATAAAAACTCGTTCGAATGGACGAGCATTTAGAACAAAGGAACCCGAGAAAGCATCACAAATGAATTACACGTAGTTCGTTTTTGTTTAATTATACATAATACTTGGCAACTGACTTCCGTCACAATTCATAAATAGCTTAAAGCAAGGCTTTATGATAATACAAGAAGAAATCATTATTATGTATAATTAAAGAAAAATTGTAACCCTGTGTATAATTGCCTTTCACATTGTACAACGCGCAGCAAAACTCAATTTATACAATTTCGTACAATGTCAAATACACGCATGATTAATTTACAATTTAATTGTTATGATTTCTCAGGGTTTTATTACGCGCTCTTTGAAACAAGAGTCGCGTCACACATTCTTTTCTTTTAGTCGACACCGTTTATTATTATTCGCTTAAGATTTCTCTCTCTCTCTCTCTCTCTCTCTCTCTCTCTTGAATTAATCACTTCTTCAAATTTTCATAATAGTCGATCTAAAGTAAAGTATCTTAGGAAATTTGGGGGAGCTCGAAATTAACATTCAAATTTGCAGAGTGGGCGAGCTTAACGATCGTCGAAAGCTTCACTGCAACGCGCGCCGCCTCGTCGAGATCGTCAACTGGAACGATTTTCAGTCCAGCATTGGCGATGAGAGCTTTAGCTTCATCCACGTTGGTTCCCTGAAGCAAAGAGAAAGATATTTCATACCCATTTATACCACCGCACTACGTACACCTCATTCCTTATACTTTATATTTTTAACTTAATAAATGCATTAATTGCGTCGAGATTATTCCTTCGTGAATACAGACATTTTGTATTCAAATTGTCAAATTACCAAGTTAAATAGCTTAAAATTATTATTATAAAAGTATGTTTTTATAGGTAAAGAACGGTAGTAGATAGTGCGCTTACTGCACAATCTCTCGACGTCTTATCTGCAATATATATGCAATGCTTAATGCAATATAGACATTTTAAAAAACGACAGTCAACAAATACCCGAGCAATATTAATAACTAATTATACAATAGAAGATTTCCTCGACCAAGAACCAAATGAAATAATACTTATGATGTAATGAGTGCGAATTGATTGTATACCTGTAGTCTAACAACAACAGGTATTTTGAGGTCAAGCTCTTTCGTCGCAGCAATAATACCTTCGGCGATAACATCGCACCTCATAATGCCACCAAAAATATTAACTAAAAGTGCATAAACCTGAAAGAAGCAGAATTACAACTTTAGTGAAGATAATAATGATTGCAAATATGGAAATAAGTATTGTTGATAATATATTAGATAAATAAGCACATTTGACACTGGTTATAAGTTAATAATCCACACGATGATATTTATCGAGAGAGAAAAAAAACAAAACAAAAAAAAAACAAAAAACAAAAAAAATAAAACAAAACGACAACAACGACAGCAGCTGATCGTTCAATGGTTTTTATAAAATACGACCTTCAAGTTTGATTTCTTTCTTTAGATAATTCAACAATTTTCACAATAATCCGTATTAACGAACAATAAAAACTTTCAATTATTATATTTTTGATACGGGAAGCTGCTGAGATAAAAATATCTGCATACGCTAAGCTCACTTGGGCATTTAACCTCAACGTATAATTCTCCAAGGTCAACAGCTTTCGAATTTCAGATAAGCCCAACGAATTATACAAAAATTTTCAAATAAATAGTCGCGTAAATTTATCGAATTTCTAAGTTATTTCGCATTTGACAAATACTTTTGGAAAATGCCGTTGGTAAGAATTTTTTAAAGCACTGAATTCTAAGCATTGAATTATTCTTGTAGCTAAATTATATTTACATCATGAACTGAAATTCACTCGAGCTTCATTTCATTTCATTTAATTGAATTTGATTTTAAATGCAAATGGAGAAATTATTTTATGTTTATACATAATAAGCTTAAAAACTTGTTCGCTTAAGACTATTCGTTAAGGGATGAATTTTCCATTAAACATCTACAAATAACTTGAAAGTATTTGTTTGTTAACAAATCAAAAAAAAAAAAAAAAAAGAAAAAAAAAAAGTCACACATCCATGGATGTGCACAGTAATTATGAAATGCAGACACTTTTTTGTTCAATGTAGCACGTTAAACGTATTTAACCACCATTATGACACTAAAACTTATTGTTATGTTATAATTAAAAACGTACTATGATAAACAGAAAATCAAAACGCCATGATGGATTGCCATTCGAGATGATGGCAATCGTTAAATAATAATCAGAATTACTGAGAAATTACTGAAAAATTACTCGCTTATCGAATCATGAGCATAAAATAGGGCCAATTAGATAATTTCTATAATCACAATCGCATATATTGTGCCGTATATTATGCTAACTGCGTTGTTTGAAAAATAAAAATGATAATAGCAAGAATACAACACATTGGACGCTGTTAATGTCTAATGGCTCGAGCAAATATTACTTTAGGACGCATAAATTACTTTAGGATCAGAAGTAATAATCTTAAAGGCTTCTTTAACAGCGGATGCGGTGGCGCCTCCGCCAACATCCAGGAAGTTGGCGGGCTCGCCGCCGTGCAACTTGATGATGTCCATAGTGGCCATGGCCAGGCCAGCTCCATTAACCATACAACCGATGTTCCCGTCCAATGCAATGTAATTTAGCTCGTATTTCGCAGCCTCGACTTCCTTCGTATCTTCCTGCGTCCAGTCACGTAGCGAGAATAGCTTTTGCTGCCTGAACTCCGCGTTGTCGTCAAACTTACATTTGCAATCGAGCGCAAAATCTACAAATTTTACAAACATTACGAGCTAATTACTATCTCATTGACCAAGTATCTCCTTATCTCTACTACATAGACATAAATAATTATAATATTAAAAATATTAATTTCCACCTCCGTTTCTTACTTTCTTATTTCACGTTCTCTCGATTAATTTTATAGAATGAATTATTTACCATCCAATGCGATCGCCCCGTTAATGCAGTCGTGCACTTGATCATTTCATTAAGCAATGAGAAAGAATGGATCTCTTTGGGAAAAATGAGCATTGTTGAGAAAAAAAAGAAAGATATTAAAAAAAAAAAAAAAAAAAAAAAAAAAAAAAAAAAAAAAAAAAAAAACATGGTGGCATTAATGTTTGCAGGCTATAGAATATTTAGAGCGCGGGCGTGTGTGTTTGTGTGACATGAAAAATCTCGACAATTAAGCGATAGAATCAATTTTTGCTAATTTTTTTCTTCTTCGTTTCATCTTCTTCTTTTTTTAATTTCAACAAACAAATCCCAAAAATTTGCTATTTTTATATAAAATAAAGAAAAAACGAAGAAAAAAGAAAAAAAAATTAGTCGAGGTTCGAGATACTTAAAAAAAGTCAATGGAACGGCCTTTATGATGTTATTAATTGTTTATGCAATGACATATTATTCCATAATTAAAAACAATTTTCTTTTTTTCTTTAATGCAATGTATAGGCGGCGCGCCCCAAGTAGATAAATGAGCCTAAGCCTACATTTCCCATTAATGTCCTCAGCCAGTGGATTGATCTCGAGCAGAATCGCGTCTTTCTTGATGAAGAGAGAGTACAAGTTAACGATCATCTCAGAAATGTAGTCCTTGACGTTACACAGTCCTAATTTGGCGACGATCCTCTCGGCCTGATCCTTCGTGATGCCCTCGTTAATGTTAATGGGCTCGTACGTGATGGCCTCGGGATTGGTCGCCGCGACCTCCTCGATGTTGACGCCACCCTGGTTCGAGGCGATGATGACGGGGCCACCGAAGGCTCGCTCCATCATCACCGCGAGATAATATTCCTTTCGTGGGAACATCCGCTGCGTAACCATCACCGCGTTGCATATCCTGCCCGCCTCGCCAGTTTGCTTCGTCACCAAGAGCTTGCCCAACATCTGGCTTGCCAGTTGCTTCGCTTCTTCGGGTCTAAACATTAATTAATCCATTATTATAGTCGATTGACATTGGCAATGTCGTCAATTTCTCGTCGCTTATAAATTCTCAAACATCCGTGCTTCAATCTTATACAATTTCTGCATAAACTCGCACATTTTCTTTTTTCTTTTTTTTTTTTCTTTTCATATACATTTACGTCGGCGGCTTCAATCAACAACGAAAATCCCCATCGTATTTGTCGGGAAAATTTACGCGCAGTTAAAATCGGGCCTCTGCTTTTTAATGGCTTTTCTTTGGAAAATTATGTCGCCTCGTAATAGTTAAAAATACTTTCGCTATATAAAGTAGTATATATTTATACACTATATTTGCACGTGTAAATTCTTATGCTCCACGCTAATAACAATTTTGTCTGTGTCTGCGCCCCTCCCCCCATCTCATTCTTAGAACCAGCTCTACTTTTAGACTTTTTAACCGATGAATTGCCAATTTTTAAAGCCAATAATTTTCAGCGTTAAACTTGTGAATTGAAATAGAAGAGAAGAAGAAAAAAAAGAAGAAAAAAGGAATACTTTACATTTTACAATGAAAATTTTATAATGAAAAAGAATAATAGCCTTTACAATAGTTAAAGATTTGTGATTTAATGAGAAGTTAACGAGTTAATGAGAAGTTTTCAATATCATGAATTTCTCCCGCTTAAATAAGGAATTTTTTGTTCCGTACCGAAGTCCCAAAGTCACCATGGCTCGTTTAAACGAAGAAATCACATAGTCGTGCTCCTTGCATTACAATACGGATACAAATTAAGCGTAAGATGAGTGCAAGTTCTTAGTGCGACGATGTCCTACTATTTACAAGTTTTATATTTCTATCCATTCGTTGTTTCAACGCTATAATAAGAAACAAGACGGTCTGTCCATAATATACATATACATGCGCATGTTTGATCATTTAAGCTCTGGTAGGTTAAGAGCTGCTAGTTTCTCGGTCGCGAGCAGCTTCACTTATTGACATTAGCGATGGAGAGGCTGGAGGAACGTACGTTTCGCACATCTTAACACCGCTGACGCTGCTATCCTTGAAATGGCCTTTGCCACGACCACCGGCTAAGACTTGGGCCTTTAACACAATATCCTTGGTCTTCAAGTCCGAAGCGAGTTTGGCAGCTTCATCCGGTGTTTTGGCCACGCCAAATTTGGGAGTTGGAATTCCCGCCTCGTTGAGGATACTGTAGCTAATGTGCTCGTGGACATTGAGATTCCTGGTCGGCTGCTTGTTGAGGTTACTCGTACAAGCCAAGATCTGCAGAACAGGGGAAGAAAAATAACAATTAGCGCGCTTATCGTTTTCAAATGATATGAATGCCAATGATGAAAGTCGCGTCATCATATTTTTCCCCAATGATAAAAATAAAGCCAATGTGGCATCGAACCAAGTGGCATTGACCTACACTTGTCAGTCGACGAAGAAGCATCGCGCGGGCTTCTCGAGACTGCCTCGACTGACGGAAAATGACATTCAAGACTTCAATCACGTGTTACAAAACTTTTTATGACTTCCTCATTTGCCTCCGTTATAGCTAGGCCTGCGTGCAAACGTTTATTTCCCATGTCGTAATGTTAAAGAACATTTTCGCAAACGAGTGCTTTCGTCGATTGCATTATCCTTTATTAATTATTTAATGGAAGAAAAGCGCCCACTTTGACAATGTAAACGTTTTTTTTTTTTTTTTTTTTTTTTTTTTTTTTTTTTTTTTTTTCTCCCTTGATTCACTAGGAGAAAATAGGATAAAACGAAGAGTGAAAACTCTCCACCCACCGTCATTAACGGACAATTATTTTTAATACCACATTATTATTTACACGCGATATGAGCAAATAAAGTGCTTATACAAAAATTATAATAAAGCTAATAAATAGTCCCTTGGTTCTCACCTCACGACATAAACATCATTTCTTACGATGTGAAATATGTCAAGAAAATTTTACGGTAATCGAAGGAAGGAGTGAGATCGATATGATACAATGGGAAAAATGATAAAAGAATTTCACGTTTCTCGCTGAAAATTAAATTATTATTCAACGTGTCTCGTAGTCGTCGCTCAATCGATACTGCGCATTGCTCCTTGCGTATTGAGCGTGTAAAAATAAATTAAATTAAAAATTAATTTTAATTCTTTTACTTAAATAACTAATACCAAATGCCTGTCGCCAATTGCCACTTAATAACGAATAAAATAATTTTACCAAATACCACGTGGATGTACAATTTATAAATTCAATTATCAATCACCTACTTTTGTTAACCTACTTCTTCCAAATAAGATATCACTGGCCGCCACTAACCGACAACAGATCGATACAATGAAATTGACATTAATAAAAGACTTTTAAGCAAATGTCCGGGCATTTTTAAGGATCGATTAAGTAACGATTTTCTTCCCTTTAACGAGGTTTAACCATACAAAGTCGTACGAAGCAACGTAATTTAATAAGCAAATTCTCGCTACTAATAATATAAGAAAAAGTTATAGAAATATCATGTTTCGTGAACTGAAATGTTCAGTTAATATTATTCTCGCTATCGCGTGAAAAAAAATAGTATCATTTAGTCATGAAATTGAAGAAAAACAGTCTTTTAAGAGCGGACAATTTGATCGTAAATGTGTTGTGTACACTATTTTCGAACATTCCATTTCGTCGTCAGCTGCTGCTTCGTTATCTCTCTCTATCTCTATCTAACTCTCTCTCTCTCTCTCTCTCTCTCTCTCTCTGTCTGTCTCTCGTACGCGTGTGCGAGCGAGCAAGCATGCTTTGTTAATTTTTTCATAATTTAGCACAATTTAACGCTCCAACACCCGTCTATTCATGAACATTAATGATGCAAAGTATAGCAAAGTATACACAAGACTCGCTCGTCTCACTTCCACTCCACTCCTCCTTACCTCTCAATCAATTAACTATTCAAACGCATAAAAATTTTCTCTTTTTTTCTAAAACTAATAAAAGCACATTTTAACGAACCGTGCTCGATCTCGCTCCATCTCGCTCATTTCCAATGCGAGGGTACAAAGCGCGAAATCCTTGGGATTGCCGCGCGCGTGACCCTGGCAGCTAATTTAGCAGACTACGCGCGCGCACCAACAGCCTTGCAGCGCGTTCATAGGCGCGCAAATGTTCGCCCGCGCGTGGTGCGTGGTGCGTGGTGCGTGAGCATGGTGCGTGTGCCTGTGCCTGTGCGTGTGCGTGTGCGTGTGCGTGAGCCTGAGCTTGAGCGTGTGTGCGAGCGAGAGGTATAGAACGGGGTGGGAGAAAGAGAGGGGGATAGAACGTAATTCCTAGAGGTGCGCGCACTTTTTTCGAAGAGACTATTGAGGACACTAGGCCGAGGCCGTTCGTCCGGGAGTCGACGGCTCCTGTCGCGGGGAGCATCCACAGGGACGTACCTTAGGGGCGTTCAAACGGCTGAGAGACTCGGCGATGTTGATCGTCCGCGACAACATGGTGGCCATCTTAGGGAAGCGTTGACAGTGAGCAAGCACTGGGCGAGGAGCTGGCTATTTGGCTTCTTTCGCCTCTCGTTCCGTCTCCCTGCTGTTGCTGACGACTGTGCCAGACTCTCTGTCTCTCTTCCACTCACCGGCCCTCTCCCTCCCACTCGCTCGCGACC